TTCAGCATCTCCATGATTTCAATGGAAGGGGTTACAAACAGGGACAAGAATGAAACTTAATTTGTTTATATATATATAACTGTGATTGGCACAGCGTGAAAATAATGTTACTTGGGTTAATTATGACAGGAACGAAACAGACATTGAGTTGAGAACCCTCACCTGCCGTCTAGGCCCCTCAGAGGTGTAGCCTGTACGCTGGTCATAAACAGAGCGCACAAAGACTTGAGGTCTTTCTGTGGAGTTGCTGATGGGATGACTTCTGGGCACCTCCATGTTTTCATACTCTGGTGGGCACCCAGGGTTGGACGCTACACCCACTTCGTCTAGGATCAGCTGACCTGGTAAAGTGGGATGAAAACACGACTGATCAGTGAGTAAGTCAAAGGAGTAAGGCAAAAATTTTAAAAAGCAGCAACAAAGAAACAATCCCAAACAAACCCAGACAAATCAAAAACACCCCCCCCCCCCCTTTTACATGTAATGAGGGTTTACGTTTAAGCCACTGTGAAGGTGCAGTATTGTCAGAGACAGTTTGTTATTTTACAGGAATTGCATATTGTAAGTTATAATGATTGCAAATCAGCTGCATCTCCCGAAGTACAGAACTATACAACTATCAGCACAAAGAGAAGTTCATTTAATGAGTGCCAACGGGGAAAAGGGGAAGGGAAGGGTGGTGGGTGGGTGTATACTTTGAGGTTTAAAAAACAGGGTAGGAGGGGGGGGGGATTTTATATACATAAAGTGGGGCAAATCAACATCTGTTTGTAAAATAAAAACAATAAGCGCCCCAGCAGTTTTGATAGAGACATCTAGATGATTATTGTGCAGAGATTGTGGAAGAACCTTTTCTAAAGACACTAATTATCTTCATGTTGTAATAATTTGGGTAAGGTCAGGACACGACTGCGTCGATTATTTGAATATATGGTTGAAGAGAAGCAAAGTCGGTAATTAATATTGTAGTATATCAAGACGGTGGATAACAGAGCATACAAAAGCTAGAAAACCCCCCAGCCATGTCTAAACCCATGTTACTTTCTCTCTCTCTCTCTCTCTCTCTCTCTCTCTCTCTCTCTCTCTCTCTCTCTCGCCTTCTCTCTCACCCCCTTCTGAATTTTGTTGTTATGACCTTGAATATCGGCGACGGTTGCACTCACCGAAAAAAGCCAGCAAAGCATTTCGGGAATAACTAGAGGCCTCGAGACTTTCACTAGAGTGGGCTGCAACGCTGATCTCCATGGGATTGGGTCTGTCTTTCCCGGCCATTTGGTATGCTCCATCGGTATAGGCTGCATCACTCCCTCGTAAAAATCGACCTCCTGTGAACGAAAAAAAAATGAAGAAAATACCCAAACCAATAAAGCCTTCGCGTTGTCTAGCAACTACAGCATGTAAATGTGTCTAGTACACATATCATTTTGTAAGAAATGGTTTTGGAGCAATGCTCAGACTGAAGTCTATTTTACTGGCTGTGGTGCCCCCAAAACAAATTAAATAAAAACAAACAAAGCAAAGCCACACCCATAACCAAAAAACCCACAAAAAAACAAAACAAAACATAAACATAAACAAAATCGTAAACAAAGCGTACAAACAAAAAACAAACCAACATGCAAAACAAACAACATAAATAATTAAAATAACAAAACAGAACCAGTCTCATTTCAACTTTCCAGTGTCAATTACTTATGTCTTTGCGAACACCAGTTACCATTAGATTTATGCTTTCTAAACATCTAATTTGGAAAATTTTTTACCCTGACGTTAAAGAAGAGAAAACATTGACACCTGGAGATCATGTGATTTGGTTCAAAGGTTAGATCAAGTGCCACGCGGTGTTATTGTACATAAAACTAACCGTACAGAACACGGACATTTCCTTTAATTATAGCTTCTCAAGTGCCGACTGCCGCATATCAAGGTTATTGAGTGTTTAGAGGTTCTTGAATCCCACAGATATCACCTTCCATACTACGACCCCGTGCACCAACGAAAGATCGGACCCTGACCGCATCATTTGTAGGCTACAAGTCTTGTGACTGGCTATTCCTCACCAGACAGATTCCATGCGTACGGCACATGACCTCGAAAAACAAATAATGTGTTTGATTTGAAGGTCGCCGTCGAATTGTATCAAAATGGTAGCTTTTGCCTGTCCATGAAGCGAAATCCGGTTAGTCCCGAAAGTATCAAAAGGGCAAAATGTACTGGGTATTAACCCTTTCACTGACAGGCCCGAGAATTGAGTGACGCAGCAGGTCTAGGAGAAAAAGCGCATTCCTGTGTTTAATAAATATCAGTAGATCTATATAGACCTTCAAATTCACTATTTGCTACACTTTATATATCTATTAGATTTTAGGTGTTTAGTAACATCGTTGTCCCCTCTCAACAGACAGCCCAATCACTCACCGACACAAGCGATCCCACAGTGTAAGTTAGAGTGACCTGGTCTCTTGGAGACGACCTCTGTGTTTAGAAAAAACTGCATGCCCTTCACACTCTAAAACTATTAAAAAAATTTTTCCCTCGGTCACTCGAACTTGGTGGATTAAGTCAAGAAAAATTAATTATTGCCAACCTTTAGTGATTTTGAAAAAACAACAACTTCTAAATGTTCAGAAATGAGGTCAATTAGTAAAAAGCAGACCGGACGCTTTCTTTTGGATTGTCTTATATCAACAAGTGTGTCGTTTTTTTTTTTTCAAAAAGTAGTCAATTGGAATTCAGTTCCTGTGGTCAAACATGGCGAAAGCAAGCGAATAATACCCATTAAAATAAAAAAACACAATTTTATATATATTTTATACCAACTCATAAAGAACTTATTAAGTTCCTGAAACGTCAAACTACGCAATAGTGCGTTTTGAGGGCACAGCAGTCGTAGGGTAGGGTGATAGG